TGATTGACTGTATTCGAAGTCGTACAATCCAATCAGATAGCTGCATGATAAAAGAAGTTGGTTATTATAGTCAAGGTAGAAGACAAAGTTCAAAATAGCTTGACATTGTGAAAATAGTTTTACCCGCAACCCTATAATATGATACTTTTTTGGACATTATGGTACAGAACTATTTTTGATTCTACTAACTTAATTTGGATATTTTATTTTTGTCACTGTGACGTGCAAAATAAGACTCTAGAGAAAAGTTTAATTAAGACATTATTAAACATTGAGCTGAAAAAACCAGAATAAATACTTACTCAGCACTTCTATTCGATCAAAAGTTCCTGTTAATCGTGTCATGACATTCAATTCTTTACATGCCTGGAAATACGTCACCAATTAAATATTAAAGGAATATGTGTATCAGAGAAAGCACATAAATAACCTGTCCAAACTGGAGTACAGAAAATCAATTCGCAATTCTGTTAATTACCCGTATTAAGTTCTGGGACCCTGGAGAACTGAAAAGATGCCATTTAGGAGATATGTAAAATCTGTCTGGGTGATCAATGGGCGTAAATATCCATTGGACTAATATTTTTAGTCAGTGCAAACAGTGCAAATAAGGCTGAAGAATGTATAGTATGTAGTATGTAATAAAAAGCCCATGTCTTAATCGATTTTGTGGTTAATGTTATAATTATGACTTGGCTGTTTTGATTTTTAAAAGTATTCCAGGAGGATGGAATGAGAAATTAGTGCGAATCATTCCTACACTGCATTCTGAACAAAGAGTGTAAAGTGCCTCAAAGCTATTCATTTAAATTCGGCATATTATACTCGTTAAAGAAAGGACATACTTAAGTATTACGCGCCGACCGTGGAAGAAATGTGTTAAATTTTCAAAACCAAAGCAACAGTGTTCAGTTAGCTAGGCTATTACTAAAATATAGTAACAATTCTGGATATAGACCACAGTCTTTAATATGCTGCTATATGTTTAATTATTTATCTGGCAAATAGTTTCTTCAAATAGATTCAGTTGTTTCTGATTGTAGAAATATTTTCCAGTGTTTAGTCAAATTATACATCAATTATGAACGAGAATTCTTTATTAAAGTCACGCTATAAAACGAACACAGCATTCGTGTTAAAGGGACAAATGAGCCATTTTTGGACCAATCACACCTAAGACTATATACTTTAACTAAGTGTAAGCCTAAGTGATCGCAATTTACCGTCGAAATTTGAGCCTTCAAATCCATGGGTGCCAAAAATTATCCGCGTTTGAATGTTATAAAGACTTGAGACACTGTCATATATATAGAAAATACATCTATAGAAACAGGAAAAGAAATTCCAAATTTTATATATTTATGAAGGAATTATACGATTTCCTTAAATTTCTTGTACTTCTGAACACTATTGACAAATATATCAAATCGAACCCCCAAAATGTTGCATCTGTCCATTGAACGAATCTTGCTCCTGTATAAGCAAGGTAGCTACTCAAAAACCATCGCGAATTTCTGATCTCCACGAAAATGGATAGACACCATCTTTGCGAAGGAAATGAAATGGAGTTTTACGTCTACTTTTCTGATCTTTGCATAGTAGCAATTCCACAAACCAAAAATATAAATATGGATAAAAATGGAAAGAATAAGTCAATAATTGTAGTCTGTAGAGGGAGCATCTTGAAGTCTTCATTTTTGTGCCTCAACCGATGCTGACAATTGGTGACAAATTGTCTAATCATCGTCGAGACCTAGAGTGAACGGGAGCATGTGCTCACCATGCCAGTCCTGTTTATAAGGTAAGAATTCTGAAATATGTTGTCTTTAATCTTATGGCTTATTAACATCCACATATCTTGCAATCGACATAATGTATCCGAAAGGTCATTAAATGTGTCCATACTTGATTCATCAAAAATTAATGAAATTCTGACAAGTTCACAGAAGCTATAGAACATTACCGTCCACGATAATGAAAGAAATTGAGAATAGAGTTACTACCTAGTAACATCATCAACGACAACTAGTGGAGCAGTAGTTCATCAACCAGTTTTCAGAAAAGTCGAACAGTACATGATAAAGTACTATATATGATAAATCTTCATTTTTGTAAAACGGATTGCCACTTTTAAATTTGCGCCGTTTGACGATTGCCAACAGGCCTTATCGCGCGTTATCGTCATTGTCCCAAGTTTAAACAAACGCGCGCAGACGCTCGCATGCGTCGAACTATTTTTAAGATTCGATTGTCTGTGTTATCTTTTAGCTTCTTGTGATTGGTTGAAACGCCGGCGTATGGTAAATCTGGAAAATGGTACGCCGATGATGTGGATAGTATAAACCTAAGCACTAACGGCGTTAGAAGCATAAATCCATCTTATATAATCCTCACTTTAGTTTCTTGTGATATATGTTAGGTTATTACTCAATAACGAGACAATTTAAACTCTACATTGAAGCCAGACTATCTGATAGGGAAAGCTTTTAGTTAAGATTTGTTGCCTAGGTTATTCTTCGACTAGTCAGCCTACAGACTTTGTGTTTCTAACGTTTATGAGGCTTAAACTCCAAAACAACGCCTAAGTAACTTTGCCCTCAGAATTGTCCTTTTGCCGACAATATGCAATAATTCCCAAAGATAATGTTTATTACATACACTTATCTGAAAATGGTCAAAACTTGGCTAACGGTATGTGGTTAATTTTATTACAGAATTGTGTTATTCCATATTGTCTTGTGTTTTTAATAGTCAAAAGAAAATTTACCTGAAGGATTGATCCGGCTTTTTTCACATGCAGCTTCATTCCTGCACGACTTGTAAAATATCCCGTCCAATAGGCTTTAGGAGGAATAGCATACGGAAAAAAATCATCGGATTTTGTTGGGAGGGTTATCTTTTCCTTGTTTACGTAATGCAAATAACATGATGGCGTGGAGTATAATAAATTAACATTTGAACCATCTGCTTGCTGAAATTGAACCATAAAAAAACATTATTGGACGTAAATATTAGAGATTTAAAGACAGACTATGTGCCAGTTTTTTACAAAATGGATTTCTGGCCATTGTTGTTAAGTTTTTCCATTAATGTTAATAGAAAGAGAAATACTAGTTATATGGACTTCATTTCCTTGGAATTCTTTGAGAAACTTTCATCTTTTCAAAATTATTTCGCAATAAGATTCAACTCTGCGTTTAGACTATGATATAAATATTTCAAAATGTGAATTTCTAAATCGGACTTATATGCTTCCTCTTTATTTAAGATGCAGGTGTTTCTGAGATGTGTTTACCTTAAGGCTTATTGTCACAATACTCGATAAATCTTGAGATATCCAGTCTAGTTCTTCATTGTCAAGTTGTCATTTATTGTCATACAATTATTATCATCAACAAAAATTAAATATAAATTCTTACATGTAAATTAGTATTTTCTATTAAGGCATCCATATTTGAAAACCATTCATTGGCTTGTCTGTAGGCAAAATCGGCTCCCATAGGGAACATCAAATGTTGAGTTTTAAAAACTCTAGCCTGAAAATGTAATGAAAATTGATTACACAATATGCAATAAGCAATAATTTTGACTCTTCAAACGATATGTTAGTAACATCCACGTTGAACACTACACTTTTGAAGAATTTGAGTTTAGTAATCCATGTTGGTAAGGCCTACTTTTTTTTTCATTTTTCATAGAAGTTAAAATATTTGTTTATACTTACTCTCTCCTTGGCTATTCGTATCATATCTTGAACATATCTCGCTGTAGAACTTTTCTGAAACAAAAATGATGTCAATTTGGAGAGAAAATTCGTGTAAAAAGCCATTTTTCCCCAAAAATACAAAACAAAAAAAAGAAAGAAAGAAAAAATTATATTTTACAAGGATAAAAACTTTTCAGTTCACAGTTAAGGATCCTTTCTACCAGTTGGTCCCTGACCAAACCTCTTGGCGTTGATCTTTCCCGGATTACCTGTAGCCATTTTACAGCTGGGTCGACTGGAATGAGTAAAGATGACTTATTCAAGGTCATCGAACTATCACACGCCAATCGAGAATTGAACCCACAACCGCCATTCACCAAGCAAATGATATAAAGAACCAGCGCTATAACCGACTGTGTTAAAACAGTTATTTTAGAATCTCTAGAATGAAAACGCTTAGTGTATTAGTACCTGCACTTACCACATTATCAGGTCGTCTACCTTCAAATTGTAATTCCCTTGGTGCATAGTAACCATCGTAAGACACATGTGTAAATAGAGAAGCTTTGTCACCTAAAATCACAGTATATTGATTCTGAATTAATTGTAGAATGGTTTGTGGTGGATTTAATCCATTCGGTCCCAGTTACCAACTCCAAAGGGTGAGTACGTTAGCGGATATTTGAGACAAATGCAATGATGTATAAAAAGCAATAGATAATTTTACACTTTTCCGTTGAATTAGTCCTAATTTCATTATTTTTGGTTGATGTGTAGACCCTCAACCACGGCGAAACTGTCATTAGGCATTATTCTTGTGGTCAAAGATGGGAACCAGAAAATAGCGTAAATGACAAATAACGAGGAAAAATCCCAATCTTTGGATATGAATGACAATACTTTGGGCAGATCAATATATCAATACATTAATCACCAGTCGTATTGTCTCTTCATAACAAAGAAAAAAAAAAACGTGCATTCATATGAGATCTCACCTAAGTTGGCACTACTTTTCCATAAAAATTCCATCTTTTTATTTTGATGTCTGTCGTTGTAATCTTGAAAATCAATTCTTCCAACGAATAGACCATCAAACCCCATCTAAACAGAGAGAAACTTCAACTGTTCATACATCTTTTCATTAATAACAATATGTTTGAAAGATAGAGGTGGTTTTTAAATCTCCGCAATTATTTGTTCTGCTTTTTTGCAGATAAGCCGAACAGCGTGCAACTTACTCAGAATCTCGATATTGACATCTAAAACGCGCACAGCCAATAAAACACGGTGATCTGGGCGATCAGAATCTTATAATAGTCGAGCAAAGGTATATTTGTCGTATTCAAAACGTTACCACAAATCGTCCACTTTATTCTTAGTATTGTTAACCTGAGATGGAGATGGAGATGGAGACTGTGATGTTAAAAAATATCATCATTGGTATTGTGATATTAAACATTTGTTCGTATTGTCGACCTAAAATATCACAAATAGTATTGTCGTTCTATGAAATTTTGGTGTAAATATAATAGTACAGTCGATCTGTTTTGATATTTAAAAGCGATGGCATGAAATACACTATGTGATATGGCCCACATAGAACAAGTCAATAGTCAACTAACCTGAGCGAATATAGACGAGTGCTCACGGGAGTGACCAAATTGATCAACGTGCCAACCGTATCTAGATTGACCACATTTCCCAAAATGTTTTTCAATAAAATCAAAACCCAGTGTATGTTGATCTATGATATCATTATAAAAAGTTGTAGCAGCATCACTCATACACCAACCACCAATAGCCAATTCCAAACGTCCTAAAAAAATAGATGGAAAATTAGTAAATCGATGCTTTAGTGGGCAGAAGAACATTTACATGTAAAAAATACACTTTTTTTGGCTTGTGTTTTCTTGATGTAATTATTGCTCTTATTTGCAAGTTACTTTTTCGTAGAATTAACTTATGAAGTTTTCCTATTGGTTTTTTTTTTGTGGAAATACCACTTAATTTTTTTTCTTTCTTATATCAACTCATTTTTCATTTTATCTTTGTTTCAATTTTGATAAAATATTGTATATAGGAAAGTTTACTTATTTCTTCTAGTCAATATCGATACTTACTATCTTTTATTAGTTTTTTTATTTGATTTTGTATATCAGGAGATATTTCTCTCCAATATCGTTCTAAAAATGCCATTTCAATAAATATAAATCTTCTGTTAGGATTAGCCACTAGTAATGGAATGGTCGTGTTTAACACACAACGTACACATTCTGTACCCGGATGTTGGGAGCGACCTGTAACATAAACATAAACTTAAGTAAAAGCAAAAATGATATATCGAAATGTAATTTTGAGCTCTGCCATCAATGTACTGTTCAAAATTGGGAAAGTCCCAGCGTGTCTGCTTGACTAGCACAGCAAAAAGAGGACTGCTTCACTAGCCGTTTTTCTCAATGTGATGATAAGGCATTCAGTCACGTAGCTACCCATGGGTCTCAGAGGGAGGGGGGCACAAGCTTTGAAGGGGTGCACAATCAAATCATCAAAATTTTTCAGGGGGCCAGAATTTTCTTTAGGGAGAGAGCGGCGGGGGTAGGTATTCTGAAAAGCTTCTCGTCAGATAAGCTAGAAGTTCTGACCAGCCAATATTTTTATAATTCTGATTAAATAATTCAGACTATAAATATCACAGTAAATTAAATCAGTAATTCTACACACCAGTCTTTTAGTTTTAATAACCATTCCTCGACACTTGAAAAAGGATAATATTTCGAAAACCGTTTCGTGTCAATTGCGTAAGTTTTTGTTTCACTTGTTATAATTTTTCACATCATTGTTAGCGTTATTTATCACCTAAATATATATTTTTTTGCATTTTTCATCTTGCTTTATATATCCCCAAACCCAGTTTGACTTATTTGCATAATTTGATCCCAACATTTTCACGCTAGCATATACAGTTTCCTCCTGTTACATCCACTGTACATTCCCTTCTAACCCCAAGTTATTTTCATTATGCTCCCCAACTACAACAACCACTGGCAAGAAGCCAGAAATAGAAACACTAATCGTCAACCAAACCAATATCACGTACCCTACAACGGCCCTGTCTTCCATCGACCTCTACCACCTACCAATCGCCGACCACCAACCAACCCATCCAGCTATATCCCACCCCATCGCCGACCTACCTACAACACAGCCTACCAATCAAGAGGTAACCATCGACCTGACCAACAACAGAAACGACTACCAGCCCACCGACGCCAACCAGTCCCCACTCATAAGGAGGAAGAACCCTTTGTGAAGGTGTTCTTCCAAGTTTTGCAGTGCCTCCATCATTTGGCAATCCTTACCCTTCAACAGCAAGGCCAACCAGCGTTTACCTTCAAACGCAAAGTCTCTGAGTTGGATAGTTTTATCCGTCCAGCAATGAAAACATCAGCTGTCGACGCGAATATTAGATCCCTCAATCGGACAGCCGTGATCAGATA